TTAATTCCCCAAACTGTGGTTAACAACGTTATTTCCAGCCTTAAAACACGTTGTGATATGTGTGTACAAGTCAGGGGAGATCATATTCCATATTAAATTCATAAGACTTAATTCTTTTCTGAATCATTCCTTTTTTCCTTAACTCTCTTTGTCACACTTTATTACCATTTTTATTGTTTCATGCTACAATTTTATATCATACGAGGTGATCTTCAATTTTTTCTTTTGCATTTATGTGTTATCATGTTATGTATGATTCCACGAAAATTCATTAAATTATAAGTCATAGTCTCTGAGAAATCCGTGAATTTATGCATGTAAACATAATTTTGGACATGAGTGTATTTAGGGATTGCAAACATTGATAACTCATTATCTCAAACTAGTGAAATTTCTAATATTGAAAAGCTTTGTGCTAATAGACTTCTCAATATTTCTTTCTTTGACTTTGATGTTTCAAAAATTTCCGTATCTCCAGCTACTGCTTATAGAGCTCGGGTGATCAAAAGAAGTAAAATGGCAAAGAAAATAGAAGAATCACTCTTTGAAACTCCTTCTCATTTGGTCTCACATTGGGACAAACTGTTGCCTTCAGTTGCCCATTGAAGTGTCAAAATGTTGGAAGTTAAGAGTTCCGGTTCTAGTGACTGGCAAAGATCTTGAGCATTTGCTTGGCGTACTTATTGCCCTGAAGGCATACAACGTCCTATGTAAAAACTACCCGACATCTAGCACCTGTATGGCCATGTAAACTCCCGGTGCAGCCTCACGAGGCTCCAGCGAGTTGCTTTTTCGAGATAGTGCAGGACGTGGGACATATGCCTGTTTACCTATGTTATACGCCAGGCGTCCCCGTCCTCCGTCACCTGTCACCTGCCCTGAAGGCAGTGGTGAGCAGGTGGCTGAAGTTTTCCAGGACGTGGATCAATACGGGCTATGTGACAATATCATCAGTATGTCTTTTGATACTACAGCATCTAATACAAAACTAATCCAAGAGCGCATGAATCAGAATTGAAAGGGAATTCTGATGAACATTGTTGTGGTTGGTTTGCCATCATTACACCCATGAACTAATATTGAAAGGAGTGTTTGTCACTTGAGACAAGTAGTCCTGACGTCCACATTTTTCAGAAGTTCCACTTGATAAGAAGTCATATACGACAATGCTGGATGAAGAAAGCCTCGCTCAAAGCTACTAGAAGAACAGTGAGTGAAAATGTTTTACTACATCGAAAATGTCCTAAAAGACAGAAGTCATCCAAAATAAGACTATTAACTAAAAAGTTATTACAACTGTCACTCCTGTATCTAGGAGGTTGGTCTCAAAACGACTTCAGTTTCAGGATCCCATGGGCTCTGCAACAAGCACGGTGAATGGCAAAGGCAATATATACACTTAAAATTGCCCTCTTCATTATGCAGTTTAGTATTTCTAAATGAGAATTGAAGGGACTGAAATAGGTTCCACATTTTTTTAGCCTCATATATGTTTGCTTTTGGCATGAGGAAACTGCAAGTTGATAGCCTTCGAAGAATGATTTGGATATATTACAGCTTTTCAACACTTACTCAGATGCTATCTTTAAAAAAAAAAAAAAAAAAAAAAATTGCTTTCGCAGTTGCTAAGAGACCCCTCTGTTATCTGTCAGAAACAAACAACATAGGATTGACTTTTTTGAGTGAACGTATTACTCAGTCTGATAAGGAAAATATGACTAAAAATTTAGATACCAAACCTGCAAAGAAAAAGAATATAAATTATTACAGGGTTAAAAAATATAGTTTTTGAAGGAAATGACCTGAGCTATTTCATTAGTAATAAAACAAAGATGTTCTTTGAATTGTTTGGAATCCATGACGTGACAGAATACTGTAGTGATTCTCTAAGAAGCCACATGAAAGCTCTTAAGCTGGTCAATGACACCACAAAAAGAAGTGCTCTCATAAAAATGCTAAATGAATTGGTCAGGGATGAACAACAGAAACAATTCTTATTGAAGGTAATTCAGCATCACAGAAAAGTTTTTGCCAAGCGAACAAAAGAAGGATTGTGTCATTCAAAATTGGCATGTTTTGGTCTATCATACTGCCCACCTTAGTGGCTAGTTTTAATATTATTTTGTGATTTTTAGTTTTACCAATAAAAATAATTAACATTGAAAAATCATATTTTTTGCCTATTTCTACAAAACTGATAAAAATTATAAATATTATCCAATCTTGTTGAAATTTGGTATATATATACAGTAGAATTCCAGAAATCCGCAAAGCTTGGGACCAGAGGTTGTGCGGATTTTTGGATTTTGCTGATTTCAGGACAGAAAAGATAAAGCATAATATTTGGACTAAAAGTGCAAAATGAATAAGGTGTATTAGATACATTTAATTAAATTATTATATACATTATTGCAATAGTTTATTATATGCAATTAAATTATTATTACATATATAAATTGATTATATTATTCATTGCATTACATGTACACAGCATCGAGGTTTGCCGATTTCACCTCATGCAAAGATTTCCGGTTTCGGATTTCGGTGTTAAGCACCTGCTTCCATGTTTTGCAGAATTTGCACTTTTTGCGTTACCGTCAATGCAACGTGTTTACATTTTTCAATGTTGCAAGCAGTAAAATCATGAGTGTGTTTCTTATCTGTCATTGTATTAAAAAGGGCTGAAATTAAAAGTATTCTTAATTTATCCACAAATTATCCAGATAAAAAAAGGCAGCACTAATCAATCTCATGAAATGAAATAACAAAGCTCAGAAAATACAACGTGAATCGTGAACTTGAACAAACAGTTGAGTGAATCGTCTGCTTTTTTACCTCGATGCAGATTAGAGGGAAAAAAACTTATCTTATTTATTTTATCTTATTTTTTTTAAACTTTTTTATATCAATAATTTGGTATTTCCGTTTTGACTCATTATTATTCGGTAATTATGACGTCATTATAAGTAAGTATTTTTTCCTTTGATATTTCGTACTCAATGTTGTGGTTTCTCGAACCTATAAACTGAATGTTTATATTCCGAGGGGCAATGCGGATTTCAGGTAGCCCATATTTCACTGTGATAGTGACATCAGTAATCTGAGATAGCCAATTCGTAACAATGATCTCCAGGCATCATTTGCCTGCAGAACTACGATAGAAAGCCATTGGGAGACTAGAGGCAGGTCAGACAGAAGTGGCCAGATGGCTAAATGTGAGTCCTTCTATGGTTCATACACTTTGGAGGTAATTTCAAATCACAGATTCGGTACCTAGGAGGTTCAGCCAAGGACGGCTAACTGCTATGATGAGCGCCGATGACCGATATTTGACATTATGTGCACTCAGGAATAGAACCGCTACTCCGACTCTTCTTAGATCCTCCCTTGCTGCAGCCACCGGGAGGTTGATGTCAGTGTCAACTGTGCATAGAAGACTTCACAAAGGTGGTCTGTATGCGAGGCGAACAACCATTTGCGTGCCGCTTAAGTCACGCCATAGGAGTGACCATTTGCAATGAACACAACAACATGTCCACTGGACGCCTGAGCAATGGAGGGCTATTCTCTTTACGGATGAGTCCAGGTTTAGTCTAGAATGCGATAGTAGCCGTTATTTGATATGGAGAGAACCTGGAACCTGTTATCATCCATCAAACATCCGTGAAAGAGATGCATACGGAAGAGGCAGTGTCTGTCTTTGGGGTGGCATCCCTTTGGGTGGATGGACAGACCTTCATGCTTTTCCTAGGTGAACAGTGAATGCTCATGTTTATAGAGATGACATCCTTGATGCCCATATGCCGGGGCAATAGGTGATGCTTTCCTGTTACAGGACGACAAATGAAAGACCACACAGGGCTCGCATCGTATAGGATTATCTTTAACAGGAAACAATTATGCGCATGGAGCGGCCAACTCGATCCCAGGACTTGAATCCTATTGAGCACATTTGGGATGCTTTAGGGAGACGTCTAGCTGCTCTCAATCTAGCTGGCCCCTTAGACCCTCGTCGCGCTTGCAACTGCTTTGCAAGAGCAATGGCTCTCGCTTCCTATGGAACTGATAGACCGCATAATTGAAAGCATCACACATCGCTGAATGTGCTGTTTGCTTCTAGAGGCAATTATATTCCATATTGAAGGTACTTTTCCTATAGCAAACTGACACCTTCGATTTGTTCATTTTATACATGTGCTAATTTCTATACTACCATAATTATCTGGTAATTTCTTTTTATGTTATTTGATACCTTACTATGTGTAGTATATTGTGGGTAACTTTCATTAAATTCTACATGTAACTTTTTCAGTAATCGTGATTTTTGTGATTTTTTCTTTATTTATGATAACCAGTGTATATACATCTTTTAGATCACTGAGACTTGGAGAGTAAGCAAAGTCTGCCAAATTTTACATTTTATTTTTGCCTTACAAAATGAGACCCCTAATATTCCCCTTTGTGCAAATAAGGTAAAATTAAATCAAATTTTCATATGTTTTATGGTTAATGTTGTATTTATATTTTATATTTTTTGTCTTGGATTTAATGCTTTCCAGTGATTTTCTTGTTATAAACTTGTGCACAAGGTACTATTGCAAAGTTTAAATAAATAATCACTGTGGACCAAGAATGAATTACTCCATTTTTCACAAATATCATGGGGAAAATAGTTTGCAAACATTTTGGATGACAAATGGATTTTAGGATTGAATTCTATTCGTGAACTGAGGTTTAACTGTACTCGAGAATTGTGTCCTTTCAGTAGCTGCTTCCACTTTCATGTAATAATGCACAGCACTTGAAATTAGCATACAGAATAACTATTTTCTCTAGCAAAACATTTTTACTTGCCACTTATTCAAACTATTGGTTGTGACTCCACTTAGAGTTGCAAAATTTATGGTGGGGTCTCAAGATGGGTAAAATGTCTTAAAAATCAGAATTGATGGTATATAACACAAGGTGAATGCACAAGGTTGGGGGTTGCATTGCCACAGTTTGAATTTCACCAATTTAAAGCATTTTTATAACTGGAAATATATATCTACAGTAAGCAACTGTGAAAATAAAGGCCCAGTAAGGACTCTACAAACACAGTGCCATATACTATGTAGGTACAAAGTTTTATATGAGGGTAGATCCAAAAAGAAGGTTACAAGGGTAATAAAAATTATTTAGTAACAATAGACAAAAAGTAGAAGAGGGAATTAAGAGACATACTTTGGTATAATTTTTCCACGTAATCATCAAATCTATTTAGGCATTTATCTGCTTGTAGGACCAACTTGTTTAACCTGGCTTGGTAGAAATCACGTCCCTGTCCATTGAGCCAGTTCTTGGTAGCTGTTTTCACATCACTGCCTGAAGAGAACAACATCCCAAATAAATGTTCCTTCAATTTCAAAAAAAGCAAATAGTCACTGGGAACTAAATTTGGGCTATATGGAGGGACTCTAGACTTTCCGTGTAAACTTTTGCAGCAATTCTTGAATTTAGCGAACAGTATAGAGCCAGATATGGTTATGCAAGAGGAAGACACCATCAACTCAATATGCTAGAGCACTTGTGTATCATAACCTAGTCAAAGTGGCGCAATAACGACCAGCAGTAACAGTATGGCTACGGACCAGATCTTGATCAGAATAACAAATCACGCCTCACACCTCCAAGCGAGACCACTTTTATGACTTGCCATTTCAATTGCTCTGACACTACTTACCCACACAACTACTGCTAGAAAACTAGTATCATCAGTCTAAACTCTGTGATAAAGTATTCCCTCCACAATAATTACTTTTCAAATGCTGGTGCTTGTAACAATTTTTTTTGGGGGGGGGGGAAATCCATCTATGTAGCTCAGAACACATTAAAATCATTATCTGCAGAAAAACATATCACTAATTTTTCTTTTAATTATACCCGCATACATTGATTCATTTGTAAAACTTCTAAATGTCATCTAGATGTCATGATGAATGCAAAATTTCCAAACAACTGGAAAATGATTATTTTATAAAATAAATTGTGTTATTTACAAATCTATAATAGCATTCTATTAATGAAATAATGTTTCAGAATTCTTGCATTTACTTTTTAATAGACAAGAATAAACACCATTTATGACAACAGAGAAAATTATGCTGATTACTTAAACTTTGGAACAAATATTCTCATAAAAAAATCAAAGAAGTCCTAAAAAGGATAATTTCACTCAATTTCATTAGAGAATATATATACTTACATCAGCATTGTTCAATGATATGAATAAAATAAATTTGGTTTTAATTTATTTCTTCGGAAGTTTTCTTTTGACTAGAATTCATCTACTTTACAAGCTTCAGACCATATTTAAGAATATTAAGTAAAGAGTTCCTCACATTTGAAAATAAATTGCAGATTTTAAAGCTGCTAAAGCAGCATGACCTAAAATGTTATGTATGATTCTTATAATTCAGTTTTTTTGCTGTAAATTTCATTCTCATTCAGTCTTGCAGGTGTAATACTGCTATAAAGAATTTTCAACTCTTTGAAAAGCATCTCTTTTAATTCTGGATCTATAAGAGGAAACAAAGGATAATTCATAACTCCTGCAGGATCATAATGTGTCAGAAGCGCTGCAAGAGAAAGCTGAATCTCTTTAGTTTGAAAATCTTCAAGACATATAGGCTTCAATGAATTCATGGCTTCAACAACTTTTTGATGAGTATCAAAGTCTGCTAAATCCAGTAGATGTGGAATAAGATTACAGATATGATACTTCTTAATTTCATTATGAAATAACCTGCAAGATGAAAAGAAAAACTGAAATGTACTAAAAAGCTTAAAATGCTTTTCTTCTACTTTGCGATAACACAAATAAGAATAAAATGTTAATTTGGCCACAATGCATTCATTTAAATTGTCATATAAATCCATAAATAAGCAACAATACAAATTTAAATTATAAAACAAAATGTACAATAGATTTTTAGATAATACCAAAATCTACTTAAAATTATTAAATTCAGCAAAAATGCATTTTAAACTTTACTGTAAAAAAAAGAATTTATCTGAACTGATGCCCTCCTCCCCAAAAAGCTTTTATCCGTATCTCCCAAAAAGCTTTATTCATTATCAGCAAGACTTCACCATAATTCATTATTAGTGAGACATCGCCAAGAAAGCAATGATTTTAACAACTAATTTTTGGTCGCCAAACACGCCAAACTTGGTAACGATTTAGTTATTTTTTTTTATTTGTAAAACTGTAATTCAACCCTATATGTAGTTATGGTACACTGAGAGAGCTGGATTAGTAACTGTAACTGTATCTGGCCCTTAGATTTAACTGTATATGCTTTCATGTAATTTCGAGAAACAGAAGTTTGAAATGCTAGTAAAGAGTCTAGCTAGTCCTAGAAAGAATGCTGCTAGTCTTGTTATGACAAAAGTATCTGTTTTTACATAAACAAGTTTTAAATTATAATGACATGACTTTCTACATTTTCTTTGTCAATAAGGCACTTTACTGGATAGCAATAATCTTGACAAAATTAATATCTTTTTCAGTGAAATAATTATGCTGCTTGCTTTTCTTCAAACTAGCTACAGTTTAACATTCAATAGTCTACTTCCTTCATATTTTTAGCAAGAATTTCTGAATGTGCTGTTTATGTTTTGATAGCACTATATGTTAGAAACTGCTATTGGGTCTTGCTTGCACAGGTTAACAGATATTTCTGCTTATCGGTTCTCATTTTATCATTTATTTTTCTGCTGTACGGTTTCAGCAAAGCAAAGAGGAGATGTAAAACATTAAAAACTGTGTACTGTCCTCACACAGAAGGAGGAAATGCTAAAAAAAATTGACAGTGGCATGCCTGTGTAAGCCATATGACACTAATTGTTCAACAGTGTATGACATTAAATACATAAGTAAAAACTGCTACAGTTCTTTTTTGACAGTGGGTAAGAAATACAAATAGAGGATGTGGAAGAAGTCGGTCAGGAAAGTGTTTAATGAAATGCTAATTTTGTGTGCTTACATGAGTTACATGTGTTTGTAACACGAAAAGTCTGAAGAGAATGAAGCTCTGCATAAAAATAAGGTTACAGGGTCAAGTCTATTTAACATTAAAGCGAAAGGGTATCTCACCAAATTGGCTAGATATCGCCAAGAAGGGGATGGTTTTAGCACCTAATTTTTGTCACCAAAGATGCCAAACATGATAACAATTTGGTGACATTTTGGTTTTGCATAACTATAATTGGCAATGTAATTAACCCCTGTATGTAAATGTAACCATATCCTGTTCTTATACTTAACTTCAAATCTTTATGCCATCCAGCAATTTTGAGAAATAGAGGGTATTGGAAATATCTTGGCCCAGGAGGAAACAGCATATCAGATCGCAGAGAGCATCAAGTTCTTAGTTTTTTAGTTGAGCTAACTTTGAAGTGTTGAGTGATATCATGTGAGTTTTGATCTTTGGATATGCTGTGCATTGCATTGTGTTTAATATTATTTATAGTTTGCAGTGATAACTTTGGACTGTGCTCTGTCCTACTGAGAAGAACTGGATGAGTACTTTTGCAGTAAGTTTAAGAACAGTGAAGAGTTGTTTTTGCGAAAATAAATTTTAACAAGCTATCATTAGTTTTGTGTGCATTCAATCCACAATGAACCTGAATGCAAGTCCGAGTAATATGTGTATCTATTGAGTATCTGAGATACTTGCTATTATTTTTACTTTTTAGTTCTGAGTGATTTCACTGCTTCCCCATTTTTGTTCAGGGACTTTGGCTTGACTAGTGAAGGGCTATCTCAATGGGTCTAAAACTAGTCTCTTAATGTTGTCCCAATGTGAATTCCAGGATACTGGGATGACAACATCCTCTCTGGATCAAACAGCTTCACCAGCTGATCAAAACATGTACTGCAGTGTCTCAGCAAAGGACTGTGCAAAAGAGGTGCGAATAATAAGTGATGGACTATAAGATCAGCTAAAAACAGATCAAATAATATATTTAAGATTGTGGCTCAAGAAATTAGACATCAGTTTTTACTTATGATGAACTTATAATTGATCATTATCTTGACCACAGTAAGGTAATAAAGAAAAGTAAATATATTGAAATTGATGATAACTCTTTCTAAAGGAGTAATAAAAAATTACAGAAAGGATGCTATTACCAATAGCAACACATGACTGCCAAGCCCCGTGGGGAAAATTTTTAATTTACTAAAAAGTGAGAAAAATACAGTAAGTAGTATCTCTTAAACATCTTACAACAGAATATGCAAAACTGTACAATAATTTATTTATACTGATTTGTATTACCATATACTAAATACATATAATGCAGAAAGAAACAATAAAATAATTGACACTTTGATAAATAATAAAAACATAACATGAAAATTAACAGTTCCTAATATCCCTCCCCAATTTAAAATATATTTATTACACAAAAAAATAACTTAAAATGTTCTTTCAAATACCTGTATAAAAATGTTCTATCATCATCCTGATCCTTGGAATTTTTAGAATACTGTTTCATCATTTCCTGCAATATTCAAGATGCGATTAGTATGTTGAGTAGTAAGTATTATAAATTAAGTAAGTGTTATAAATTTTATACATTACATCTGACATTAAAGTAAAACTTCATTAATAATCATAAAAAACATTCATAACATAAATATATATATTAAAAGAAAAAGAACATATGTTATACACATGTTGAACTTTAAAAAAAAATGACAGAATGAAGAGAGAGGTTCATTAGACATTCTCCTACAGTATTGAAATGAAAAGTACTTATAGTGGGATAAAAAAATCACTTTAATGCATAAGAAGCAATTTAATTTTACCTTTCAAGAATTATACATGAACTATGACCATATCCATAATCATAAAAATTTAGCATAAGACCAAAATTTTTTGCAATAAATAATTATTAAGATTTATTTAAAAAGGGAAATTTTGAATGAAAATAAAATATTTTTTATACCCATTTCTAAAAGTAGCTAATACATGACCCAAAATACTAGGGATAGCAAAACTTCATAATGATACAAGATGCATGGTAGAATTCACGAAAGTTTAAGAGCCTCAACTAGATTTTCCAAAGTTTAAATCCATAATTACACTATTTTAAAAATAATGAGACAGGTTATGAATAGAAAGAAATGTCTGAAGTAAACTAAAAAGAATTTTGCATTTTTATTTAATTAATATGCATATTTTTTATTTAATTAGTGTGGTTATACATAAATAGAAATAAATAATTCTTACTTTTTCTGCTTTATATTCAAGAAAGTATGGTCCAACAAAATATAAATTTGAAATTATTGTTCTATGCAAATGAGTGTTGTTCTTTTCAAGCAGAAAACAAACCCCCCTTTTTATGGTTTCCTATTTATCTACCTCCATTTATGTAGCATATGCACTGGGTCTTCATGAATGCAATAATATAAAAAGTTTTTCATTGGAGTAAAAAATAAATCACTAATTTTAAGAACATAAAGTGATTTTTCTTTATTTTTAACTCATATGCAATCCTTTAGAAGGAATAAAATAAATGATACAGAACAGCAGGCCCTGCAGAGAAACTGTTATTAAAGCAAGAAAATTATTTTAAAATACATTATCAGACTTCATTTACATTTTTACAAAACATTTAATAATTTTGTTTTTCGCACATAATCAACACGAGGACAACATTCTGACATCAAATCAAATTTTGAATCATTGAACTGATTCAGTACGTGCGAGCTACATACAAATAAAATTTTGGACTTTTAGTTCAAAATAATGAGTTCTCAAATCCTACAAATCTTCAGAAATATTTTTAATTCAAAACCTTGAATCTTACAGCCTTTTCCATTATTTGGATCCTAACTTAAGAAATTCTGAAACATTTTAATTCAGAACTTTGGAATGACTAGTTTTATTTATATCTAGTAAAGAAAAATCCATTAAAAAAGAATATGATTGCAATTTCAGTGTTATCTGAATCTACAATGTCATTCATGACAGTCATGAATTCTAGACTGTTTCAGCAATTCCAACGAAACCTGTCAGTTTTCTAAGTAGTCAGTATGCTGCATTTTATTGAAAACACTCAAAATTGTCTTCCAAATCATTTCAATAATCCTGGACATACATAACCTACTACAAATCCTAATTTCTGAGATACACAGTAGTTGAAAATGAATGGTTCAGAAAGTAAATATACTTGTAACTACTATAATGAATTTATTCCACAAATACAGATATGATATAAAAGTTTAACTCTCCAAATTTCTATGGACTTGCACAAGTGATTGATGTGGAGATTTTTTGTGATATGACAGACATCTACCTGAGAGTTTCGTTCCTGTGTTCTTGCTATGCAAGTGCTAACATAGCTTGATTGAGTCGACTGCCTTGCTGAGCGCTGCTTTAACTGCTAAAAGTAGTTGGCGTAAAAACATCTCTTTCACATATCCCTAAGAATATAATCACAAGGCTGTGCTAAGAAAATAGACCTAAAGACAGTGCATTTGGTAAAGTACATAAAATGTTTACTTTCAGAGAATCCCATACACGTTCCACCGTGACAGGTGGGTTTTCCGTGCTCCAAATATCAAATTATACGTGTTAATTTTGCCACCTAAATGAAACGTGATTTATCAGTGAACATGAATCTGGCCATGAAATCACCCACTCACAGACCTATGCTGAACTCTCTCCATTTCAATTGGTAGTTTTTAGCAACTGTGCTGTGTCAAATTTATAAGGCTTAAATTGCAAAAGCTTGTGCCATACACAGTTTAGCTTATAGTACGTTTACTTCTCTGATGGCATGATGCACTGATTTGTTTGTTTTATGGGTATTGTATAAATGGTTTTATGGGTATTGTATAAATGGTTTCTGATTTGTTTTATGGGTATTGTATAAATGGTTTCTGCCATTTCATTATTGACCCATGTGCCTGTTGTTGAGCTGGATTTTATGTTTCCCTTTCCTTTCATAAGCAACCCTTCTCTTTAAGCTGTTTGATCCAATTTGATATGTCGTGACAATGTGGTGCTTACTAAAGCTGGTCCAGAAGTGCTTCAGAAGAATGGTTACTGATAGAGTTCTTGCATGTTTTAGCATGCAATGAATTTTTCTATCACTGAAGCTCCATTTTGAATATCAACACCAGTAGTGAGTTTTCTGGTGTTGCCAAATGAAAGTCAGGATTAACAATTTCATATCATACCAGTATTTATTAAGTCAAAGGTGTTTTTTTTTTTTTTTTTTTTAACTATGTACCTTGAACTATTCTGTAAATTTGTCATATTATATTGAGAAAGAAAACCTTTAGCTTCACCAATTTACCTATAAACTTTGCAAATGTTTACCTGTATGTTTATAACAAATATAAAAGCATTTTAAAACTACACCCTTAATTTTTTTCATTAAATGCAGATTTGAAATTTTGCTTTATTTTCAGATTCTTAACACATTAATTAATTTAATTAGTTTTTAACCTCTATTACTATTATTTAAAAGATTTGAGCAATTTAAAAGAATCTTTTCAAGACAAATTTAGAATTTAGTCTACTTCTAGGTTGTTTTTTTTTTAATGGAAGATAAAAATCTATACTTATTTATAGTGCTGTTCAGCAAGGTAACTGAACATTATCGGCATATAGTAATGCCAATGTTTGCAGGTCATTTAAAAGACAATGCATGAAATAGCAGTACTGCAAAATGAGAAGTGTGATTATAATGTAATTTACATCTTGTCCTCTATTCACTTCTTCATAAAAACTTCCAATTTATTAAAAAAAAAAAAAAAAAAAAAGAAGTTTTAAGAACTAACTGAGACTGGAAGGCAGAATACATGGGGCAATAAATTACATAAAGGAAAATTCCTTCTTATATTCCCACCAGAGTTTTCTTGCAGAAGATGCAATTTAAATAGATGTATGAATCAAAATATTATACATCACAGATATTTTCTGACGTATTATGAAGATACAGTATGCAGTATAGTATATATGCTGTGTAACACATCAGATGCAGAGGCTATTAATATTATTTTGGAATTCACCTCATTTAAAACAAGCACTACAAGATGCTCAGAGATTAAGACCAAAGATAATGAAATTTATGGTGGCATGAAAGCCCGGGCAACTGGTGTGGTTGCACAAGAATTAAGGGGTGAAATAATCTGGCGGTAACGAGCAGCAAGAAGCCTGAAGCCAGCAATTGACAAACGTGATATTTGTAGCATGCTAAGAAGCTCGTTGAGCAATATTTGAAAAAATGTCACAAAATACAGCAGTTTCACCAGTGTCTGTATAACCATATTTTTACAGAAGCTGTGTAGAAGAGAAAACTCTGAATCCAGCTTGTCTTTCATTGCTTGATGCAACATTCTTGAAACAAAGACATTCTGACATCAATTATTCTGACATGATGATGAGAAATTTTTATCTCAAATTACAGCAACTGACAAAACAATAGATTGAAGACTTTGAACCAGAATTGAAATCATTATCAATCCAGTGGTCCATTCTTCCCGCAACTGCACAAATTTCAGCTTGCTTAAATATAGGGGCATAAATGATGATGATAATCTTTGCCTAAGATTACCTTGAACTTATCACATGCATAAATAATATGGTGGATTTGACCAATGAACTGAGGAGTGTGAATGGGTTCTGATTCCATTTAAATTCTTTGACTGAGCAGTCACAACATAGCAGCCTACGCTATGATGGAAATTTTGAAATTTTTGCTATCCAGAGAAAGAGGCAGTAGTAAATCTTATGAGCCTGGAGCTATACAGTTAATGCACCTTTCATGAAATGAAATTTTGACCTTTATCTGTTTGCTTTGTTTGAGTATAAATGCCCTCTAAGTTCTGTCCTGAGTTGGTCAGAGTACTACATCACTAGAGTTTTTGTTTCTAGAGCTTATTTCCATCAAGAAATCATCTGTTCTAGAATATAACCCAAAGCAGAAGTACCACAGTAGATCTGAAAAGTCTTTCAACAAATTTTAGAAACATCAGCAAAACTGGGCCATGCATATACCCCTATATGCACTCGAAAAAAGGCACATGACAAAATGGTAAAAATCAGATGGAAAGTTAAGAGTAACATAAATCAATACAGAATCAGTAAAGCAAACAATGAATCAGGAAAAATTATGTACTATTACAAAAACAAAACACACTGGAAGAATTAGAAAAAATATATACCATATAAATCATGTATAAAAATTTATTGCTATCTGCACATGCACTTCTACTAAAAATATCTTTATTAAATAAGAAAAAAGCTTCTCAACAGGGGGTGGATTCAGTGCGAACCTCAGATGTATATCCAGCAACAATGTATGGCATACATCATAAATTGAGAAGCGTGAAAAAACATTTTTGATTTCTCTGATGATTTTGAACAGAAGGTCCTGACATGTTTTCTCAATTTTTGTTCTACAAAGTTCCTAAACATAACTTTTCATGATTGTTCCTGAAGTTGGCAGTTTGGGTTCTGAGTGATTTTTCAAACTTAATTTTATCAGATGTAGCTACTGATTTACCATCTAATTTCAGGTTGATGTTCCACTCAGCAGAATTCTCCAATTCCTTTGCAGAATTTTTCAT